CCCCCCCCCCCCCAGCGATTCCATTTTTTTCTAATTGCTAATCAAGTATTTAAGTTATAAGATCATAAAACCGTGATATTACTCTTTAAATCGTAGTCAAAATACGAAATTTCGGTACACTATAGTAAAACAATAAAAGAGACTGTCTAAAACGGACGTCAAGTAGCTCCATCTTTGGCTTTACGTTTTGGACTCGAGTTACAAATCCTGGAAAAAACATCAAATTTAACCAAAATTTGATCTGCTTATCTATGACAAACTATAAGTACATGGTCTTGATCTAAGTAATCGCAATAGATTTTTTTCAGTGGTAAAGTGTGAGAAAAGGTGTTCTGATTAACATATTAAAAATCCCAAAAAATCCCTTCCGGTGGAACATGGTAAAAATCGAGTTTTTCTTCTACCGATAGAAAACCATTGCAGACAACATGTTGAAATTTTGAAATTATGTTTTTGCAAATATAACCTACATCATTGGAAAGCTTAGAAAAAACTAAATATATATAAATTAAACGGTTACCTTGCTTTTGCCTATCCAGCCGAAGTTATACAAGATTTAAAATGCCATAAATTTGTAATTTGTGCAAATTTTGCGCTATTTTTCCAACTTTGAGCTAGAATAACGACAAACTCAGGGACGCCGGAACGATAATAGGGCAAAGGGGGGGCGGACGCACACCAAGGGCACCTTTACTGAAAATTTTTTTTCACTGCAAAATTTTTTTGGCGACACCCCCCCCCCCGTCGCCAAAAAAATTTCGGTCAGTGTACCATTTTAGGGGTCAAAAAATTTTTCCGGACATACTAAAATTTTCCGTGAAGCCAAAAATTTTTCCGGATATCTTAAATTTTCGCCATTTTTTCAAAATATTTTTATAAATTCCAAAAATTTCCCGAAATTTTTATAAATATAAACTATAAATTACCTGAATCTCGTGATTTTCCTACAAAAAGCATCGTTAGAAATGTGATTTATCACGTATTATTTTACAACTAAAAGGGCACTTCTGCCCCCCTGCCCCCCCTAGCAAAAGGCAAGGGGGGCAGCCGCCCCCCCCTGCCCCCCCAGTTCCGGCGTCCCTGGACAAACTGACCAGTAAATTGAATATAACGGTTTAATTGACCTTTATATAGTTTTGTTTAAGCTTTCCAATAATGTAGGTTACATTTGCCTAAAAATGATTTCAAAATTTGAACATTCTGTCCACAATGGTTTTCTATAGGTAGAAGTAAGAAAAACTTGATTTTCACCATGTTTCACCGAAGGGATTTTTTTTGATTTTTAGTATGTTAATCAGGACACCTTCCCTCACAACATTTTACCACTGAGAAAATTTCTATTGCAATTTCTTTGACCTGTGGTCACAGATTGACTGGACTATTGGAACTAGCCTATATTGGAACAAGTCTAGGATTTATCTTACTGACAAACAAATACAAAAGCAAACCTATAGGTGAAAACTTACTGCATTGAGTGCCTCCTGGCCAAAGTACTAAAGTAATATGGATTAGGCACAACTGTAAAAATAATGCATGTTATTTATGATAGGTTCAATGCTGAACGGGACTCGTGTTGAGGCTACAGATCTCCGGGGCGGAGCGGCCTTAGTCCTTGCTGGTCTGATTGCCCAAGGCTCAACAGTGGTACGAAAATTTGAATTAATCCAGCGTGGTTATCAAGACATGGTGGGAAAATTGAATAAATGTGGTGCCAATTTGAAAACCCTTGAAGAACCCCGTCATGGTTTTCATGGTGGACCAGGCCATTTCTAACTTTCGTTAATTGTTACACTTAATTAATAATTGTTTGCACTTCTATTTCTAACTTTTGTTATTTGTTAATCAGTTTCATTTAAGACATTTGTCACATTTAGCTTAGCAATTTTATCACGAGGGCCTTTCTAACTTTCAATGATCGTGCCTATTATTAAACTTGATCTTTGCCGTCTGCTATTAGTTGGGGCATTAATTTAGAGCTTAGCATTTTTATTGTTTTCAGTCTATCTTTAATGTGAACGTTGTTGTAGTTTTCAAGTATTAAAATCTTCATTATTCATCACATCTGACTCGTTCTCAGTCCTGTGTTGAATGATGGGTATGCATCCCCAAAGGTTAGAGCATTAATTCCCATTTGCCCAGTTGCGAGGCAAGGGCAAGGGGAAAGGAATTGGCTTGCAGCAGAACAGCTTGGCGGAAGGGGTGTATAGGGGGCAAATGTTTCAAGAAAATGTTATTTGCTTCTCACTTTCATTAACTTTTGATAGTTTTATTTCTTATAGTATAATTCGCATAATATAAACTCCTAACATGTATATACTCTATCTCTAAAATCCCGTGTCCTACAACTATTTCGCGCCCTTTTCGTTCGTTC